CACGCTAGCTACTGCCTTGCTGTCACTGATTTATAGACAGACAGAAACTTAGACTGCCCTGCTCAGAGAAAGGGTGCTGCTCGTGCCTTCTCTCTGCCGCAGGCAGTGTAGACATCACACCACAGCTGGGACCCGTACAGAGGTCTTTCCAGTTGCCCTGAATGGTTTTGCCTTTCTGTTGATAGTTCCTCTGAGAACAAGGAAAAAAAGCATCCTATCAAGATTAATTCTTCAATATTTTCACCACAACCCCACTAAGCAATGTCAGACGTGATTCTCATGTGAAACACTGCTATGTGCCTGGCCTAGGACTTGGCAATGACTTTGTTACCTCTCTGCTGAAACACTAGATGCTTCTGAACTTCTTTCCTCCACACTTTGCTGCCACCACTGGGCTTCACAGAAAGAAACGTTGTTAAAACCACATTGGGTATTCTGGGTGTGGCAGGAGGAAAGACAGATGTTGACCTCAGAGGAGACTGGTGTTGGGTTGCTTTCATAACTGTGTTAGCAGAATCTAAGTTACTGGAGGCAGAGGGTGAACAGGACTGCTGGAAAGTGGTCTGTAGAGTTCATCTGGAAGAGACTTCTCTCAGTTTCAGAAATAATACTTTAAAAAACTACAATAAGAGCAAAATGTTGTAGATCATACTGATGTTAAAATGGAAACTTACCAGAAAGGAAGGTGGAGTTATTTCACACTTCTACTCACCAAGCAAAGGCAGAAAAGAAAGAAAATTTTAAAAGCTGTGGTTTTCCAGTGTACCTTCCTGTGTACAAGATGTAAAGGAACTCTCTGAATTACTCAGTTAAACCAGTCTCTAACCGAGTGAAAACAAACCATCAAGCTGACAGTTGCAAAAGAAAGCATGTGGTGCACCAGCATACGCAGTGAGCACACCTGGGACCTGAGCACTGCCACTGATGGAGCTCTGCCACTTACATCACTGGTGCCACAAAACTGAGCTTTTGATGGCTGGGAAGCAGACAGTACCAGAGCCCTATCTGCAGTCCATTTCCTGGCTGTCGTCGTGTCACACAGGACAGCCTGGTACTGCCTGCCCTCTAGTAACAGCCCCGTTCTCTACCAAAACCAAGGTCCAAAAATGACGAGAGAGAAAGCAACACAGAGAGCAGCTAGGATGAGTTCACTCTGAAGTGCTGTCATCCCATGCTGTTCCAGCTGAGTCCCCTTCCTGAACCAACTATAAGATAATTTTGCACAGTGAGTAGAATGGATTTATGAGCAGATGCAGCAGTTCCCCAATACTTCTCGTATCTGTGCTGCGACAGCGGGTGGGTGAGTACCAAACAAGGCACCTCTGCTCAAACAGAGGATGCATCTTCTGCCTTAAGAGCAGGAGAAAAATCACACAAAGCTCTCAAAGAACACATTCTGTAAATGTTTATCCTATTGGAGAGAGCCACAGGAACCAGTGGTCAGTGCCCTAGAGAGACAGATTTGCCTTTCCAGCTTTGGCATGCTGGGTAAATTTGGATAAATTCACTTTGGAAGGTATTTTGTAATCTACAGAGCAAGAATGCTAAACGATGGTTCAGCTTTATTGTAATGAGCTTCTCCCCTTGGTTCGCCCGTTCCTCTAAAAGCTCTGCTATTCTCTTTCTGCCCCTCCAGTTTCAAAACCAAACACTGAAACATGCCTGTTTGACAGGAGCATCTCAATCCCGCTGTATTCGAGTAGCGGGAGGCTACAGCGAGTGAAGGCAGCAGCCAGGGTGGGTATCCCGGAAAACGTTGGGAATAGTGTAGCCACTAGATGGCAAAAAGCACCACAAGTTGCTGCAGAGCGGCTGCTGCACAGGCTGCATCTGGTCCCCGTTACTCTGGATTCAGAGTCAATCCCGTTTCCACCAGAAATTCGTTTTGACAAATCTAATCTTTAAACGGCTCCCCCTTGGACACTTAACAAAGATGCACAGTAAATTTGTGTCCAGCCCTGTTTTCACTGAGACCTCTGCTGCAGGAGGCTCCATGCAGGGATGCCCAAAGGGAAGGCTGGTGCTCTGTCTGTAGCTGGGGTGGTTTAACACTCTTCCAGAATTTATGTGGAAATGTCAGAAGTGAGCAGTTGAAAAAAAAAAAAAAGGCAAATCGCAAATTTTCAGTTTGCTTGAATTATTTTCAACCCTAGGTTTTCTAATTTGGCTACAGAACAAACAAACCAACCAACCAATTACTACAACAACACTAAGTAGCATAATATACTGAGAAGATAAAACACTCTTTTAAAGTATCCATGAGGCATCCTCACTTTGGATGCTTCAGAATAAAGCCCTTATCAATCCCATTAGAAAGTCAAACCGACACAGAAGAAATAGGCAATAGGTAGTGTGCATACAAAACAGCACAGACAAAATTAAAACTCACTTTATGTCGGCTACATGAGTTGCTTCCATTAAACCCTCCAAAGCACTGAAATGATATATTTTGCTGATATAATCAGAGCATCCAGCAGCGAGGAGCTAATCTATAGCACTGCTGCTGCCGCCTGCACATCTCCACAGCCCAGGAGTCATAAAGGAATACCTGATGGATCCATGGGTCAACATTCAATTTATTTATTCGCTCCCGCACATAACTTGGCACAATGACATATCTGCTACTCCCTTAAGCCCCATAAGGATGAGGGATCCAATCCACTGATTTTAGAAAACTATTATACAAATAAGGAAGGAAATGGCTTAAATCTATTTCAATATACTTATGGACTGTGGCCTTGCCCCGTTCAGCAACTAGGGAACTGTTGAGACAAATCTTTCATACAAGGAGCAAAAGGCCAGAGCTGACTGAAATGGCCGTTAAAGACCATGCAGAGGGCAAATTGGTCTCTCTCCAGCTCATAACCAGATGCATTGTTGTACCAGAAGACGGATTCATCCTTACAGACAACCAGCAAAGAGGAGAAAAGCTTCATGTATGGCTTATGATTGTGAACCACTCGTGGCTCAGATTGCCTGGAAACCAAGAAAGCAGCAGGTTACACTTGTCCTCGATACATACTGAGAAAAGGCTATTTTTCAGTATCCACTACAGCTATTTTGCCAGTGTTTACATTACCTGAATCACCAACAGCAAAGGAAAAAAAATCTCTAGGAAGAATAGACCAACACAGCATGCAAACAGCATGTGCAGTTTGCAAATGTCTTCTATTTTTTAAATTCCAGTATTTACCAATTTCAGGCATTAAGTTGTTAGCACATTCCCCACCTCCTATTGGAAAATCCACACTAAAAAAAAGAAAATTTAATTCCTTGTATATGTTTAATTTTTCAAAATAATCCATTAGAGCTTTTAGGTGAGCAAAAGCTATCTCTGCTGCTGATATTCAATTTGTCTTTTAATTTCAAACTTTTAACTAACTTAGCTGCAAAGAATATTCTTTGTTTCCTTTGCATTGTGAAAATTTAGCTTCTATCAAAATTTCCCACCAGACTAATTTTTTTGCAAAATGAAACTTCAAAATGTTTAAGTGTTACTAGGGCAGTACTGAAAAATACTCAGTCTACCATGTTTTCCCTGACTGATCTCCAGAGATTCACCAGAGATTTCTGGTTGAAAGTCTTTTCCTTATATTTCTACAAATTCAGGTTGGGAAGCGGATTGCAAGGCTGAGGACAGGCCAGCCTTTCCCTTTGCCTGTGCATTTTTCGAATGCCTGGCAAGGCAGCCTTGCTGCTGGGAGAGCAAGCTTTGATCAGGAAACAGATGTCCAGCCTAAATTAACACAGGGCAATCAGGAGCCTTCATGTGTCTCTTAAGACTCCTGAAATGGCCCAAGAGATACAGGATTTCCCTACCCATCTGCAGTCGCACGTGGCTGGGAAGTGATATGTATCCTCTCTTCTTCTGGGCTCTCCTAGTCGCCAGGCTTCAGCCAGAGAGATTTTAGGGTCATCCATGGGCTTTTCGCCAGGGCTCTGTGGAGATCCCAGAGCCTGCCCAGGCTCCTTCAGGGAACAGCACACTCTGGGTCCTGATTTCCAGATTTCTAAATCTGAAAAACCTCTAAATCACACCAAAGTCCTGGCTTCTGTGTGTACAAACACCCAGCCTGCCTGCAAACTGCTCTTTCCTCTCCCATCACTTGTATGCTGGTATCTCTGCTGCTTTCTGAAAATGGCCTCTAGCTTGCCAAGCAACCAGAACAGTGCACAATCTATCATTACCCTTTCATGTCTTTCTGCAAGTCTACATTGTAGGACCACTTAGTTCTGTAGGTCCATCTGGACTGGCAGCGTAACATCTCTTTTTGCTCATCTCCCTGCTGTACTTCTCAGCCCAGCACCGAGGCCTGATTTCCCAGCATGGTTTATTCACGCTTTGCTTCTGGGACGCAGGAAACCCCTGGGAGCATCAGGGTTTCAAAGCCTCCCGAGGCTCTCTGCACCGCTTGTGAGTCTTTTACAGGAGAGCGAGCTGTACCGCACGGGGGTGCTCAGAAAGCACTGTGGGGAGGATGCTGCAGAGCAGAGCTGCTTCAGCTTCAAGGGTGACTGAGGAGGAAAAACCTGCTAGTGCTGCAGGCAGCATAGAGGGTGGAGCTGGTTCTGCTCTACCCTTCAGGCTAGCGCTCCAAAACCCAGCTCCCGTTGACCTTCTTTATTTCCTAGAATCACAGAATGGTTCAGGTTAGCAGGGATCATCTTATTTCACTCAGTTGACTTTTATCCATTGGCAAGTTGCAAGAATAGCAAAATGTCAGTTAGCATCCACAGTCACAAACACAGTGGGATTAAAAAAGAGGATGCACATAAGGAGCAGTGCAATTCCTGGCTTCATGGAGCATTTTATTGCATTTCCTGATGGTAACAGATTGATGCTATTGTGCTTGTTAGCATGGTCAACTTTTATTACAAGACTATTAAGAGTTTTATCTCTATGTGGATCTTTGAGATTCTGGGGGTAAATTTTTTCTCTAGATTCACAACCCATCCTTAGAAGCCTTTACTAATAAAGTGCGCTTGTTTCTGCCCCACAGCACACTGAAGGCAGCATTTGAGATGCTCAAGCAACGTAAGTATTTACATCATCCTTTCTGACCTGGCTAAGACAGGCACAGCAATGGATTTATCCCCTCTGGGGTCTTTCATCCTCTTCCCCACTCTACTTCCAACTTTTCCATCCCAGTCTGTGGTGTGGAGAGTGGAGAGAAGGGACACTCACCAGGAGCCCTCCAAGGCTGGGCACTTGGTCCACTCTCTGGTGGCAAAGAAAATGGCTTGTTCCTCAAGTTAGTTTTATCTGGATCAAGTCACAAAATACCAGCTCTGTTCCCTCTTCTGCAAACCACCGACATCAAAACAGCATGCTTTCGAAATGTGCCCCAGGGTGAAGGAAAGCCTTTCACACACAGAAAAGGCAACACCACCACAGCCGACAGGGCAGCATACCTGGCTACTGGCACCTGCTGCTCAGATACAAACACCCTTTTGAAAAGCAGCTGGTGAATTAAGGTATTTTTAGAGCCTGGGTGGGGGAGCTCAACATTTCTGGAACACGCAGGGTTCCATTTCCCAGGCACCAAAGCTGACAAATGTGGAGAAGCCACTTCAAACAGCATCAGCCAGGTGCTCCGAAATTCAATGCATCTTTCCTGCCCCTTGGAAGTTCTCAGCTTGCAACCTCATCTAATGACATTTGTGCAAGGCTGGACGCAAGTGGCAAGCAGCTTCCAAGAGCTGTGACAACCCAGCAGCATAGTGGAGGGAAAGCAGACACGGGGTGACGATGGAGCTCAGAGCTCCTCCCTTCCCCCCACACCACAACATCTGACGTCCAGCCCCTGAAGGAAGATGGGTAGCCGAGGTACACAGGGCTATGAAGAAATGCAGCTGGCTCTGCACTTGCCAAGGCTGCTCCAAGCAGATACTCCAGTTCTGCAGGGAGCAGTCTGGCCCATGCACCTTGCAGGCACTGAGAGGAACTGCAAAAAGCCCTGTTCAGGTTGTGCCAACACTCAACCATGTCGGGGCATGCAGAAACAGGGAGGCCTTTTACTGGGCTGCCCTGTTGAGGACAAGTCATACAGCCACCACATCCCAGAAACAACTCCTGAAAAACACGACTTCATGTTTAAAGACCTTTCCACTGACAGTGTATGAATTCTGATTTGTTTTAGAAATTGAAAGTGTTGGAAACTCTCATATCCAGCTGGCAGTAATGCTGAAGGATGAACTGAAAGGAATAGAGGAGTTCCGAGAAAGACAGAAGGAGCAAAGAAAAAAGGTGAGGCACTAGAGAAATGTTGAAACAGATGGGGTCAGTGGTCCATGCTGATGGCCTGTCTCCAGCCATAGAGTGTGAATACTGCAAAAGGTGACACAGCATGCCCAGTGTGCCCTTCACTCCTTATACTAGACTGGGGAAGGAAATCTCTTTCTGATCCCAGCTGGAAATAAAGTAGTGCTCTGAACTCATGAGACAGAGGCTTTAGTCACTTCTGCTCTCCCCAGTGTTAACGGCAGATACTATTATTATTTCTGTAAGAACTTAATCCTTCCTTTTCTCTTTTTTATACTCTTGCTAACTGGGTCTCTTTGATATGATCCTGCATGATCTCCAACGTGCACGAAAATAAAGGGGAAACACAAATATTTAAAAACATAAAATTAATAGCATACTAAATGCAACACCAATATATGCTGAATTACAAATACATGGAATAAATAGCATCTAGTTGATGCTGTATAATAAAAATGTGACTGTATTTAAGGCCATTTCATCCCCTATGATCTTATCCAGCTCTAAGTCCCTTGAAAAAGTAGCTCTCAATAGAGACAATGGTGGTTGCTCTCACACCTTCTCTAGTTCCATGGGGTTGAACTGGAAACAATTAGATGGCCCCAGAAAAAAAGGGAAAAACTGCTTTGGAGTCTTACACAAGCTTTTTTCTCCTTCAGCATGTGGCTGTAAGGAAGTCAACATTAGTCATGCCAGATGGTGTCAGCATTTTCAGTGACCTCCCCAAACGCTGTGACATGTATTTCGCTGCAGCTGCTTTCAAGACTGTGCTATTTAGACCAACGTGAAGCAAGCCCCTGCACAGCCCTGGAGAGAGTTTTACTTAAGCAGAATATAAAGAACGAAGGGCCAAAAGCCCCACTGAAGAAACCCATACCCTGCCCAGTAGGAGCATATCTCACTGTCACGTAAGGCTGGGCATATCAGAACTAGAACCATACAAGAGAATTCAGCACTGTCCTTCCAGTGCTGACCAGATGGCGATGTGGACATCAAATCGAATCGAGCACAAATTTCCCAGAAGCAACAGAGTATAAATTAAACAGGAACTGTTTGTATTTAAAATGGACAACTGCCCTTGCTCACGTGGGTGAGACAGTGGTTTGGTCTGCAAAGGTGTGGCATCAAGCTCTCGAACCAGCAAAGGAACTCTGCTGGCAGAGCTGATGGGCACTGCGGCTGGGTGTTACATTATTGAGTCTCCTTAAGAAAAAAAAGGGGGGAAGAGAAAATTAAGATTTACTTCCTACCTGGTATTAACGGAAACCACTGAAGCAGAATTATCTTGAATTATTTTTTTACCTGTTCTCTGTATCACTTAGAAACCTGCTATTTATACCAGCAGAGTGAAGCCATTTTCCCCACAGGCACGCGGCTTATAGAAAGGCCCCGACAACAGCTTTCCTCATCCTGCCACCGAAAAGGGCAGGAAGAAGTCCAAAGCAAGAAACACTTATTTCTGTGTGTTTCTTACAGTACAAGTCTGCGATGGAGCGTGTGCAGAAGAGCAAGTTGTTGCAGTATAAGAGAACAATGGAGGTAAGCAAGGAGGTTTTGTGCAGGTTTCTTGATGCAAACTGGCTCCAGTTGGAGACAGGGCGAGATCTGTATCACATGTACCTGTATTTAAAGAAAGGCCAAGAACATGTGAGTGTACAAGAGTGTGAGAGAGAGAGAGAAAGGGGATGTGATTCCTGCTACAAGGAGGAAGCTAATCTTTGCTGCTGCACCCACTGAAGAGTCTCCAAAACAAATACTCAGAAAATTAATGTGGAATGAACAATGACCAGGTCAAACAGGATTTCATTCTTTCTAGGCAAGGATACTTACAGGAGCAAATGTAATCTTTCAGTCTGTGCAAATACAATTTTAAAAAACAGTGAGGGAATCTTGTAAACAGGAGGAAAGCTCTCCAGCTGGAAAGCTTGCAGGTACAAGAGCTGCAGGCAGCTGGCTTTGGTTTCCAATGTCCAATTGTCTCTAAAGAAAAGCAGTTGCAGACCCGTCAGTGCTGCAGCTACAACTGTACTAGCAATTTTTATTTAAACACAGTTGTTCTAAGTGAATCTCTAAGACAGAGAGGTCTTTTGGTGCAAAGAAGGATTTCTTTTGCTTCTGAGGACTATACTGAGACTGTTACCTGGCTGTCTCGCAGCTTGGAGCAATGGGCAAGGTGACACACCGCCTTCAGCCACCTGATGCTCCAAGCCACACTGGGGAATGACAGCCCATCTCCGCTGGCACCTCGGGAATGTGGGCTCCTCATTTTGTCTCTGCACCGTGGCTCAGACAGATGCCTGATGCACCGATGGTGATAGTGCTGCCTGTGTATTCGTGACCACCCCTGAGGGGAGCTGGGTGCAGCTGTACAAAGCAAACAATTTCAGGGCTGCAAGAAGAGGACCTGATTTATGCTGCTAGCCCCTACCCCAATTTTTCAGTTCTATTTTTCTGTCTCCTTACAGTGTCACAGGGAATTTATTCTGTTGCCCAGTCTTGAGAACTGATTCGCTCCCCTAGACTCCAAAAGAGAAAATACCTAGAACATCAAGCTGGAGACAACCCAGCCTCGTTCTCTAACCCAAACCCTCACATTTTATTTCATTTCAATACAGTCAAAGAAGACCTACGAACAGAAGTGCAAGGAGGCAGATGAGGCTGAGCAGTCCTTTGAACAGACAAGTGCTTCAGGCAACCAAAAGCAGACAGAAAAGGTACCTGAGCTGACAGTGCTATTTAGAGAGAAAACAGTGGTTTTTTTTTTTCCTTTTCAAGGTACAAGAAAATATAATTGAATAACCCATTCTTCAAGATACCGGGGGCTGCTTTCCCTTCTAATGAACCCCTTAGAATCGAAATTAAAACAAAGCACCTTCCCAAGGAAGCCTTCCTTCACAAACTCCTTTGGTACCCTGATCTTGTTCTGTGATAGGCTGGGAAGGGTCTAATTAATTTATCTCAGGCTATGATTTAATTGCTCTATGAATCCTGAGGGGAAATTGAATGAGATTTTTCTCTGAAATTATTCATCAAAAAAGAAACAAGTCAGAAGTATCTTACGCAGTTAGTTCTGCGTTTTGGTTGCTTACATTTAGTAGGCAAATTTTTCCTCAACATTTTTTCTCCTTATGGTTAGTTTAATTTCAACTGAATTTATAAATTAAAAAATAAATCATGGGAAATTAAGGCACTGCAGTCTTTCATCGTCTTGATACTTGTAGCTGACAATTCACCAAATTTTAACGGGAACATTTTACAGCAGAACAGATGGAGAAAAAAAAAATAAATGAACTCCCTTTGGCTCAATAAAAATCAGTGCAGTGTAAGCAAAAAGGATCAAAAATCATCTCAAAGAGCGGAGGGATGGAGACTCTAAAAACAGCAACAGAACTTTACATTTTATTTCCAGCATTTGCTAATCTGGTGAACAAAACCCTCCAGTTTAGCTGTAAAGAGGGGATGAAATCCTGGCCCCACTGAAATTACACCAGAACACTTAGCAGCTTCAATGGCATCAAAATCTGACCCAGCTCCTTCCCATGCAGAAGGATCCCAGGGTGCTTCGTTGCCATTACTTCCACACACATGCCAGAACATTTGAAATGCACAGAGGCATCTCCCAAGAAGCATGTCAGCTATTTAATTCTGCGCAGCACTTGCAAACTGTTTGGGCAGTAAGCAAATAAAAATGAAGCTTATTTCCCAGCTTACTATATATTTTCCAACCAGCTGTGATGAGGAATATGGCCATAAGAACCCCTGCCTGAGCCTTGTCTTGAAGGGCAGAATGGCAGAATGTGTTATACTGATGTCTAGAGCTGTGCAGAAAGACCTGGGAATACAGAGCTGCCAATAATAGCTGTATTCTCATTTGTTGAAAGCTGCAGGTTTTTTAAAAAGAGAATTTCTACTTACAGGGAATTTTGCTTTTAGGCTTCTGCGTTGTTAGGGGAAATAATCTGGCATTTACAAAGTATTTTAAAGACTGTGTTCTTTTCATCTGTGTATTACATGAGGAGCTTGGAAGATGAAGAATTTTAATGGCCATTTATTTCTGCTTATAAATCTATTAGAAAGAACAACAAACACTTGAGGGAAAAAAAAAAAAACCAAAAACAAACCAACAACTCAGCCAGCAGACACCAAGCTTCAGGCTGGATCATGCTGGCACTGAGCTCCTATGGAAGGGATGTCTGAATGGAAGATGTCAATTGACAGATTTCCCTTGAAGTCAGTGGACCTACGGCTGCCTCTCTGAAATTCTGGTCCCTTCTCCATAGCACGCATTCAACAGAACCATGCAGAAAGGCAGGGCAGCCAAAAACTGTTTGCAAGTTTGAGCCTTTCCCCTAGAAGGGGAAAGGGAGCAAGCAGCAAAAATATTGGGGCAGAAGCAAAAATACAGTCAGAAATTAATTTGGGGTGTTTCTTTTCCTGTTTCAGAGTCAGAACAAAGCCAAGCAATGCAGAGATGCAGCAAATGAAGCAGGTGATGCTCTATTTGCAACTGAACTAAGTTTTTTTTCTCAGCAAAGATCTATACCAACACCCTGATTTTGACAGAGCACCATCCAAATCACCCAGGCTAGCTCTGTTTGAAGTCCCAAAATCACCGACATGAAGGTTAATGAAGAAGCTTCTAAAGAATGGCAAACCGATAGTCATCTAACCTGGCTAGCAAAACACCACCATTTCCTTTCTGGAAATGCAAGTCTCCTGGTTTCATTAAAGAATTTATGGACAACTTCCTATATGAACTTCACCCAGGAAATAAAAACTCTTCTTGAAGCAAGCTTGAAAGCACAAAATAATGACACTCAAATTGCCCCCAACCAGCCCAAACCAGACACACAGCCCCCACATTCCCTGTACATGAGCACGGAGGCACTCTCCAGCCAGAAACACAGTGTACGTCCAGGACAGCCCAGCAGACACCTGAGCCGTTCATGAGTTCAGACTTGCCTCTCACTGCTCATGTAAAAGTTTAAATCCCATGGTTTACCTGGCTGGCTCAGCACGGAAAGAGCCTAAGGATGCTCATTGCCCAAGCATGGGCTGGGCTCTTCCATCTCTGATTTGCATTATCCCCACTGTAAAAATGATCTGCAAACCATGCAGAGCAAATCCTTACTCTAGTATAAAGTTGCAAAGAAAAAAACCAAACATCCTAGTGTTCCACCAGTTTCAAGCTCACACATTCTTGTGATGCTCTAGCAAACCACAGGCCTGCAGTGCAGGAACCACAGCAGAGTCCTAATAGGAGGAAAAGATAAAGACTCTATAATTTTTTTCCCTAACTGTTGGGTTTCTGTTATATGTGTCCGTGTTAGAGAACGTGTACAAACAGAACATTGAGCAGCTGGATAAGGTCAGGACGGAGTGGGAACAGGAACATATCAAAACCTGCGAGGTAAACATTGACTTTTGCAGCGATTATTTGACCCGAGATATCATCCCAAGGGTTTGGCTGTTTGCTGTATGTGGAGTCTTAGTAGACATCTTCGCAAAAATACTGCAAAACCTAGAGTTGATTCAGATACAGCTGCTAGCTGCCTCACTTGCCTACAAGCTCCTTGCTTGTTCAGCATACGTATGTAAATAGAAGGGAGGGGAATAAGTGCAGAGGTGTGAGAAGTGGAGCAATATATGAACTGGTACATCTGTTTGCAAGTACTTGTTGCCACTTTTCACCCATAACTTAACATAAGAATAAACTATCTTTAGGAATGATCTTCTATCACAGTCAAGATAAGGTTGTTTCTCAAATAACTGCTTTGTTGCAAAATCTAATTTCAGTAGAAAATTAACAGAAATGTGGACAGAAAAATTCATTTTTTGTTTAAAACAATTACATTAAAAATTGAAAGAATAATTCAATTAATCCATTAAAAAGAAACAAGCAAAAGATTCCCTTTAGATTAAGTTTTGGAAAGGGCTTCGAGAATGGCTTCTTGTTCTAACGTAGGAGGTTTTTTCATTACTTTTTAAAATCTCATAAATTCAATGGAGATTAAAAATAAAATTTTCTTGCTAAGCTAAAAAGGTATGTACCTCAGCATTCTGAGAGCAAAGATATCCAAGCCCCTCAGAATCTTCATTTTGCACAGCACTTTATATTCACAAGAGTATTTGCCCTCTCTCAACTGAAGGTCTCTATTTCCTTTATGCTGAGGATGGACACAATTCGCACTTGGCTAGTAAGTTTTGCACAACAATTTACAGGAACTGGTTGACATCCAAATCAGCCACACATTTGATCATATTAATCCTTCACATATGTTTGCCCGTATGATTTTACCATGTTTACTTGTTGCAGGCCTTATTTCCACATAAAATAAAATGCCAGGAGCATAGCATTCCAGTTCTCTGCTTCCTCTTTAAGTATTCCCTATCTGGGAGGACTGGAAAGTCCCACAGCTGGCACAGCAGACCTTCCATAGAAATTGTGCCAAGCCTTCATCTTCCCAAGATGCACATTCTCCCCCTTCTTAAAAAGCCAACAAACAAATGACATGTTCCACAACCTAAACCACTTCATTTCTCCCACATGGCTAAATTCGGATGAGCCCACAGAGCTCGCGGCCTGCCCACTCCTTGATTCAGACAACTGTTCATAAAGGAAGGGCATCTTTCACGCCTTCTTTTGAAAGTGCTTGTAGACAGAAGAACTGATAGATTTTTTGAGGTGTTTAAAACTAGTAATTAATACAAAAGCAGCTTAAGATGCCAATCTTCTGGCTGCATAGTGGGGAATTTGGAAGAGCCGAGGTCGCTTAGGTCTCTAGCCAAGAGCTCGCTATCCATAGTCCAAAAATCTTGGCTAGCAAGTGGCAGCACTAGGATGACCTTAGTCACGGGGGCTGTGCCAAGTTCCTTGGCACGAGATGTCCAGGTCCACCAGCAGTCTGTCGCCCAAGCTGACGGAGCATGAAGGATGTGTTTAACACAAGACCCAGCTGTACTTTGGAAAGGGCTTGACAAGCCCAGAGTCACTCCGCTTCCCTCTTTGATGAGCTCTGTTTCATGACAGGACACCTTTTACCTGGAAAATTCCCAGTCAGCTCTCCTGCTGTTTCAGCAGCCCCTGAGGGGCTAGGCTGCAGCCACAGGCTTTTTGTTCAGAATGGATATTGAAATACTCTTTATCCACTCTTCAGGTTCTCTTTAAAAGCTTTTTCTCTCAGAAACTGGTCCCAACGCCAGCTGACTCCCTTGATGGACTCTGTTGTTTTTTTTTGTTTGTTTTTTTTTAGATGGTAAGATACTAGATGACAGGCAGCATACCCAGCTGAATGTTCTGATGAATACTGTATATATTTGTGATGTTCTGGACATAATTACTAGCAAATAGAGATGGAAACAGATGGCTGGAAGCATCTGAGCTTTTCACACCTCATAGAAAACCAAAAATTGATGTTCTACTTATAACAGAACAACTTAGAAATCAGCATGGTCGTTTTTTGGGTTTTTCTTGAAGTTTTTAAAGAATGGGTTTATCTGCCTCTTCCCCCAACTCAGTTCACACTTCTCTCTTTTCCCCCTTCATTCTTCCCAAGCTGTGCAACAACACTAGAAAATCAGAGAGATGAAGGGAGTAAAGTCTAAAGAAAGAAAAATGCCTTCTCTTTACCATGAAAATAAGCTTAAAAATTAACAGAGGCAACTCCAGAGAGCTTCAAGTAGTTTCAGAAGAGAAAAGTTTGGAAAGAGATTTTAGAAGACAGAGATGGATATTTTGGGCTCTACCTCTATTATAAGTACAACCCTTTAACAACAGTACTCCACTGATCTGTTAAACATGAAGATTTCAGTGCAATGAGCAGACAGGACCTTGACTCTGAAATCCTTGGTGGTAGAGGTAACAGTCAAATCCACATAGCAATTCCTTTCCCTGCTTTATTTTTGGCTATAAAAACTTTAGTTTGGTGCAACCAATTAAAACAAATTCTTGAACACAAAAAAGTAAATGTAGTTTCTTGAGTAGCTAAAATACGTCCCTTAAAAAAGGATCCTTCAGAATACTTTGCAGACAGACAAGCTTGGCCCAGGGAGCCCCAGCCCTGTCACCGCCTGCAATGCAAATAAATAACTACCATGAGGCTACCTCACGGCTCCTCTTTGGCTTTAGGTCTTCCAGCTGCAGGAGTGCGACCGCATCACCATCCTCCGCAACTCGCTGTGGGTCCACTGCAACCAGCTCTCCATGCAGTGTGTGAAGGACGACGAGGTAGGGGCACCTGCCAAGTAGCTTCACATGTGGAGGAGGAAGAGGAGGAGCAAGAGTGCTCTAACAATACGGCACTAGCTTGCCCTTCTCCCCGCGTGCTGACTCCCTCCAGCAAACCGGCTGTTGTGCATGTTCAGTGAGGGGCAGTATTCTCAGTCTAGCTTGCTCCCTCTAGATGTAAACCAGGTATACACCTAGATGTAGATGGTCTGTGTCACACTTGGTGACACTTCTGTGTCTCCTCCCCTCAGTCTGTTGGGGAATGCTTCCAGCTACCAGAACGGTCAGTCGAGTGTATTTCGGCTCAGGCACGATTTTCAGAAATGCATCCAGTCATAGTCTCAAAATTGGAAGACATAAAAAAATACACTAGTTTTAACTTTGAATGGTTGTTTCCTGCTACTGATTTCTTTCTTACCTTGAAAAGCCCTGGACTGCCCTTGTTCTCCTCTCTTAAAAGGATATCCAGAGCACAAATAAGCCATTGTGTTTACAAGAATGTTTGTATGGAGGACAGGCCAAAGACCCATCCAGGTCAGACATGTATCAAGTATAAAGTGTCTTTTAAGGGGAAAAGTATTAGAAGGGCATTAATTGTTAATTCAATGTGAAATGTTAAAAATTAAGTTAAATTATTGGATTTTGTTTTGTAGCTGTATGAAGAGGTTCGCGTAAGCTTGGAGAACTGCATTGTAGAGTCAGACATAGACTACTTCATTAAGACCAAAATGACAGGAACACAACCTCCAGGTAACTATTCCTATTGGTCTTGTCAGACGAGTCACCCGTAAGGCTGAGGCTGCAGTTGTGCAGTACTCATCCTCTGGAGGCAAAGCCAGCTGGAGAAGTTTCTGCCTCTCTCTTTTCTGGCTGTTCATTCCCACCCGCTGCAGCTCACTTCCCTCTTACTGTGCTGCCATCACTGCTTGTGCAGCACTGCAAGTGGGATAGCTGAATGATTCAGGTTAAAAATAACTCTCCAAAAAAGAAAAAAAAAGTTGTTTTGGTTTTTCAGCCAGGCTCATTTCACACTACAGCTGAACTGGCACCACTAAGGAGCTGGCAAAGTGCCTTGCAGAGATGGCAACCTCAATTTCCTGCGGTGGTGACAAGTCAGAGGCAACTTACTGTGTAACTGCACCCTGACCTCCCCTAGACAGGGATGCTGCCTCTTCATTTGCAGCACAGAGAAGACAAGACTGTATTCTCTTCTGTTCCACCTGCCCAACAGGGAATTAACATCCTTTGTCCTCTCAGGAAGTTGTCTGTATACAGGCAAGACTCTGTCTGGGGGAAGTTTTGAATGAAATTGGCTTTGCTCCAGCATGCAGAAGCAATGCAAGGTTCACAAACTCTGCCCACTCAAGCCAAATCAGCCTGTTTCTTGACTTCAATGATCAAAACCCCTGGGCTGAAATGGAGACTGGGACACCAAGAGCTAAGAGCAGTTGAAAAATGAAAACATGCTACATCGGAGTAGGAGTTCTCCAAGCACATCACCAGAAAGGAGGCTATTTAATGTTTCACATGGCCAAACACAAACACCACCCTCTGACTTCAAAAAGTAATACAAGATATTTATAGGCTGAGTGAATGCTTGCACTTCTGTGCAGCTGCTGCAGGAAGCACAGATTCACAGCCTTTGTCAAAGGAGAGGAAAATCCCTATTTCATCTCTTCATTAGCTGATCATACACATCTCTGCTGAAAAGATCTCTTCCCCCATTTATTTTTTTTTTAATCTGTACACAGATACTCCTTCACTTCCACTATCTCCTCTAACACCATACTGCTATGTCAAAGAGAAAATCCCCTTCGTATGCCCTCACCAGTATCAGCAGAGCTTACTTCCACTCAGGATGGGGAATAAGCCACACTGGCGTAAGAAAATTTTACACTGAAAAGCCTTCCATGCTAGAAGCTGTATAGGTACAAACACCAGCAGGACGAATGTCCTGTCCCACAGGATAATTATCCCATACAGGAACAGCTCACACCCCTTTGATTTCATCGCAGAGCTCGGAGCCAGCAGCAGTTACACACTAGCAACCTCTTCAACAGAGCCGGACGCTGCCACTAACCCAGCACTGAGCTGCCCTTGCCCTGTTTTTTATTCAGCCTTTGTCATCACACCTATGACAATTAAGAATTGTTATTTTGGGGATTTTTTAAATCATAGAACCATAGAATCATTAAGGT